GACAGGAAGGTGTATCTCTAAATATAACAGCACATATATAGGATATATATCACATAAATTGTAGTTAGAAAATTATCATTTGTCTGATGACCTCATGTTGGCTTGATGGGAACCTATAATAAATACCTGGAGCATAAGAGAAAGGCATATGTTTACATCTGAAAGAAAATTTATATTGTAGCATACAGTATTTTGAAAGGCATAAATATGTTTAATATATTAAGCATCTTTTATGAGAAAACTTTATTTTAATTTTTGTAAACACTTTGTCTTTTAACCAATAACCAAATTATTGGGGGTTCTCTATTGATGAACAAAGGTTGGCCACCCTCTATTCATTAATCAAGAGTCCTGTCTTGATTAATGAATCTTCCCCATTTTAATGGTTTTTATTTAATTATAAATTAATTTTGGTATTACCTAGACCAGCTGGCAACTCAGGAGAAAGCATGCTTTCAAGTTTATATTTTAGAGCTCAAATAAAAAGGAACAGCTGTTTATAGAATGACATAAAAACAAACAAGTAGGTACAGGACACACGGACATCTTTATAAAATGAGAGTGCACTCAAATACATTCTTGGCCAGGTTAAACTATGATGGCCTTTTTAAGTTCGTAATTAGGAGAGACTAGTCAGCTTTTGTAAGTCAATTAGCAGAGCTCTTATAAGAGGAATTTGGAAAAGGCTTTTAAAAAGCTCTTATCTATACATAAATAAGAGCTTAGGTCTCATAGCACTTAGGTCTAATAGTGCTTATCAGGTTTGAGTGGAAGCAAGCAAACTGAACAGAGTACAAGGGTAGACATAGCACAGTAGAGGAGCGCTGACAATGTAGAAGTCCTGGAACCGGGAGAGTGCCTGCAGGGGTGGCTGGGGTGGGGGCGGGGGAAAGAAGGTGAGCAAAGGGCAGTGTGCTCCCTCGCTCCCTGGGTTGTTACCGTTTCTTTGTTTTGTTTTGTTTTGTTTTAGCTTGACAGAGAGTAGAGGGAGGGACACGCACTGTTGGGGGAAAAATGCGTTATTAGTTGATTTTTTTAGAGTGAGATTTTTGGAGGAAAAAACCCCCTGTGATTGGATTGTAAATTGGGACTGGGGTTGGCGAGGAATGTGAGGAATGTAGACCGACAGACAGAAGAGAGGAAGGCGGGGAGGGAGGAGAGGCATCTCTGTAGTCCCTGGAAGTTAAAGAGGTTAGAGGGTGTATCAGAAGCCACCGCTATGGCTGAGGCAGGCGAAGGCCACTGTCCTGGGCAGCGGCCGTGGGCGGGGGTGCGGGGTGGGATGGGGGTGGTGGCTCCAGTGGGCGGTCCTGCGGGTGTGGGCGTAGGGCAATCTGGTCTGAGAGATGTTGTTAGGTGGGAGAGCCATCCCTAGTTTAAGGGCCTATGGAGTGAGAGAGAGAGAGGTTAAGGGAGGGAGGGACGTGTCCTCAAAAAAAAAAAAAAAAAAAAGCCCGAATACAGGTGACATCCTGCCATTTGCCAGTGGTGATAGAAGTTTTAAACTTTGGAGAATTAGTGGAAAAGTTGTTGTATAGGCCACTGGATTTTACCATCTAGATTAAATTGTGGCCAAGCTGTCTTGACAGTAGAAAATTAATCGCTTAGGTATGTTGGCCTCCTGGAGGCCAAAGGAGCCGAAATTATGGACCAGGCACCCCAGTGGGGTGTCTTTTAGGATCTGGGAACGAGTATTTCCCATTGTGACCGAATTACAAGGTGAGCCAAACATTAGGGCAAAAGCCTGACATCACTTCCCACTAAAAAGCCGTCACTTTTTAGCCTGGAGTGAGTGTGAGAGAGAGAAGGCTAACACCCACATTATCAGTCGTCACTAGAAAAAGTGGGGAGCCTGGGGCCAGATGGCCGAGGAAGACGAGTGGGGACCCCGACATGAGCTCACGATTTTCCGAGACGAGAGGAAAATAGGAGGCGTGATTCCCCGAGACGAGTTTGGGGCTCACCTGTGTGGATTAAAATTGGCAGGTGTTGGATGTAAGCTGGCAAAGGCAGGCGGCAGAAGCAGAAGCAGAAGGTGGTTCAGTGAGGGAGCTCAAAACAGGGGCAGGGTGTGCCCCAGGAGCCGCACTACTCACCATTCCAGGTCACAGCACCAAAAATGATAGGTTTTAACAGTGTCGCAGCAGAGAAACACGCAGAAGGAAAGGGGAAAGGGACTTTATTATAAAGGAAAAGGGACTTCATTATCTTAGAGGACACGGAGAGAATTTGGGAAGATAAAGAATTCTCTGGATTGGAACAAAGGGAGGCTGAGGCTCTTATGGCCTTTGCCAGGGGGCGGTGAGGGGGAAGTTTATATACACCTGAGGAGTTGACTGGGCCTTCCCTGAGGTGGAGAGAAAGGTGAAAGGAAACTGCATCCTGGGCTGAGTTGGAGAAGAAGGGCGGAGGTGGTCTCTGGGAAGATGAGCTGTTGTTTTAAGGGCTTCAGCCATATTGGATGACCACCATAATAATTCAGCAATTCTTACTAGGGCCATAACCTATCAACTACAAGCACCATTGCTCAGGTAAAATTGATTAAATCCAGAACCAAATGGGTCAGCCAGTCATGTACCAAGCAGGCATAAATGTGGGACAGGGTCTCTTCCTGTTGGGGGTTGGGTTAGTGACTCATTTAGGTTAATGACTCATTCCGGCTTTTTCAAGGTGATTGATACTTATTTAGAATATCAATCCCTGATGCCCATCCTTAGGGAAGTATGTGGCTGTCTTTGTTTCCTCTTGAAGGTCTTGAGGTCTGTCCCAAAGCAGAAGGGAAGCGTCTGTCTCTTCCAAAGCTGCGAAGTCACCTAGTCTTCCATATTGTCTCCTTGAGGGCCTGCCCCTGTCTGACTGCCTATAATATTTCTATCTAATTTAGCTGCAACACTAATTTTGACAACTGCAACACTAATACTGTAGTGGAGGTTGAGGCAGGAAGACAGTAAATTGAACCCAGCCTATGCAATTAACAAGGCTGTATCTCAAAGAGGAAAAAAAAAGGGGATCAGGGAAACAGCTCAGTAGAATAAGTGCTTGTCTGGCAGGTGCAAGGGCCTGAGCTCAATCCCCTGTTCTGCCAAAACAAAACAAACAAACAAACAACAACAACAACAACAACAAAAAACCAAGCAAGCTAACCAAGCCATGCCAAAGCAAATGAACAATGAGAAAAAGAAGGAGGTCAAAGGCGTAACTCTCACCTGAGGTTAGTGTAAGTCTCTAAAGTCTGCCTATGTGGCCTTGGGACAAGCCAGAAAAAATAATTTAAGTGGCTCCAATAATGTAGTCTACATGGTATATTTCACAAGAGGTGGAAAAGAGCCTGGTGGGGTGGCACACAACTGTAATCCTAGCAGTGTTGGAGGCTGAGGCAAAGAGGCTGCAAATGTGAGCTCTTTCTGGGTAACTTGGTAACTCAGCAAGATCTTGTGTCAAAATTAAAACTCAGATCTTCCTAGGGATGGAAGGCATGCAAGGCCCTGGTTCAGCCAAGTCACTGCTGTTGCTGCAGGGTTCACGCAGAAGGTGGGACACAGCCTTGGTGAGCCAAGCCCACCCCATCTCCACGAAGCCCCTCATAGCTGCAAAGTCGGAAGTGGAGCACCTGTTACTACTTGGGAGGGAATTCCTGACTCTTTACTCCAAAGGAGGAGTTAATGAAGGACTAGGCGGCTTACTCATGTCTGCGTGGCTTAGTGAGTAAGAAAGAGTGTCAGCTTCCTGCTGCTTGGATGAGTGAAAAGCAGCCGCCCGCAGCACGTGGATGCCAGCGCGTCTCCAGCACAGAGCCTCTGCACGGGAAGGGGTGCTCCCTTAGCTGGGCACCGGGGCCCTCGGAACCGCAGGGCAGCTCTCAGAGTTCTGCCCCAGCTCCTGGGCTCATGAGGCTGATAGCTTGCAGGAGACAGAGGTAGGGGGTTTAGCTCTGCGTTAGCAGGGAGGACATCAAGGCTCAGAGGGCTGTGTCACACTAAGGTCCCCAGCCCTGTGAATGAACCCAGTGTGTGCTGAGGTCCTCTTGACACCCCTCAGCGCAGGTAGCCTGAGCTGCTGCTTCGGTTGTGAGAGGACAGAGGGCTTCGTGTCCTTCTCCGCCCCTCTTAGGCTCGGTGATGTTGGCACGGAGCTGACTGAGCCGAGGCTCCCACCACTGCCCCCAGCTCTCTGCCCCAGAAGTCAGCCCTTGCTCTGGATTCTGCGGCTTCTCCCCACACTCCTCATCATCACCAACTCTGGGTGCTTGCTGAGTGCTGCCTTCGCTCTTGTGTCAGAACCAGAGTCAGAGCGCAGGCTGTGGGTGGGAAGGAACTGGGGAAGGAGAGAGCTGACCCTGCCCACCCCGAGGAGCCTACACAGCTCTGCAGCCTTGTCTGCTTTCCTCCTTCAGAGCAGGTGCTCGTGACTGACGGTTGGGGCCAGAAGAGAAGCTGCACCCTGAGGATCAAGACCTGCGAGGTGCACACACCCTGGGGCCAGCATGATCCTGCAGCCTCAGGCGGTCGTCTTAGGCCTCCTTCTCCTTCAGACAGGTGAGTGAGCAGGGTGGCCTCTGCGGCTGGTGATTGAGGAGGAAGACAGGATCAGGGCTTACAGGTTGGTTCAGTGCCGCTGAGGAGCAGAGAGCTGGGATGAAATCGTGCTCAACATAGTTATGTCGCTGCTATGAACTCCAAGCTCGAGGGCTTAGGGAGCGAGCTGAGAGGAAGAACAGGAGCTGGGATTCATACTATAACAGGGCAGGTGTGGGTAGATGTGTGCACACAGGGGAGTGAGCGTTTCATTCAGGTTTTTTTTTGTTTTGTTTTGTATTTTAGTAGGGTCTACAGGGTCTCACTACATAGATTAGACTCGCAGTGATCCGCCTGTGTTCAGCCTCCCAAGAGCTGTGATCACACGGTGCGCACCACCACAATGCCCAGTCTCAGTGGCCATCTGAGTGGCCCCGAGGGCAGAACTGGCACTACATTCCAGGGACCCAGGTCCTTCCTCTGCCTAAGCAGGCACTTTAACCTCCTCAACTATTTGCCTCCCACCCCCCCTGTTCATTCAGTTCTGTGCCTTTTAGTGTTTTAAATCTGTGTTGAGCCACCATTATAAGTAAAAACTCCCTCTCTACCCCGCTCCCTTTCTATCTTCCTCTTGTACTGAGGAGGGATCCCAGGGCATTCATGCTGAGCTACATTTCTCCCTATTTATAAGTTTTATCTTGAGGCATGGCACACTAAGATGCCCACGTTGGGTTTAAAATTGGAGTCCTACTCCCTTCTGGGGTCACAGACCTGTGCCCTTACACCTGGTCACTGCATTGGTTTTTTTAAAATTTTATTTATTTGTGTGTGTGTGTGTGTGTGTGTGGCCAGCTCAGCCCACCAGGGGGCGGAGCTGACTGGCATGTGGTGCTGGAGGATTGAACCACGGTCCCTGTGCTTTGCTAAGCTTGTTCCAAGTAGGTGCTTTAGACCACTGAGCCATCTCTCCAGCCCCACTGCATTGGTTTTCAAGTGCATCATTAGGTTGCTGCCGAAGGCTTTCAGGCCTTGTGTTTGACTGACTCGCTTTCCGGGCTGTGCTCAGAAGAGATCTCTGGTTAGAAGTTCTTTTTGACAGACTATAAAGCCTCTAATTAGCCTTGGTTCTTCCTAGAAGTGTTGGTCAATGCATTTTAAAAATTTTGATTCCTGAAGAGTTTACTAGACTTATGCTTTTAGCCAATGCTATTTTAAACCACACATTAGTTCTTCTTTTGTTGGTGTGTCAGTTATAGATAAAATAATTTCAGGAATAAGAACCCTTTTAAAATGTAATGAAAATTAAAAATTTGGAGTTTAAATACAATAGGATTTATATTTATGTTTTAAATACTGGAAATTAAGCCCAGGACCTTCACACTGAGCTGTGTCACCCACTCTTTCTTTTTTTTTTTTTTTTTTTCTCCCTCAAAAGATCTTGGTAAGTCTCTAAATTGCCTATGCTGGGGAGGAACTTGTGGCCCTCCTGCCTCAGCCTCCTCTGGTGCTGGGGTTACAGGTGTGTCCCACTATGCCTGTACAGACTTGATTTTTTAAAAGTGTATTTGAACTGATACAGAGATTGCATCTGGAGGAGAGGATCAAGAACCTGGAGTGGAAGGGAGTCTTTTCACTATATTCCCATTTCTACTATTAGTATTAGAATTTTTTAGAACCCCGTGAGCTGGGCATGGCGGCACACATCCGTGCATCGCCTCCTGGTTAATTTTTGTTAGCAATCTTTCCTCTAGGAAATCTATATATATATAACAGTTTTGCATTAGAAATATTTTGCAATTCTCTGTATAACGGTAAAAATATAAACTATACTCGCCTGCCTTGTCTACACATGTGTCCATTAAACATTCATACTGGTAAGTAATATCCTAACAGAAAAATGTGGATAGGATTAAAATTGGAAAGTTTAAACTGTAGCTAGGCATGTAGAGCTCACCTGAATTCTCAGCTACTCGGGAGACTGAGAGAAGAATGCTTCAAGCTTGAGGCCAATGCCAGGTAACTTAGTGAGACCCTGTCTCAAAATAATGCCTTCTGGGAAAATAGCTCTGTGCTAGAGCCCCTCCCTTGCAGTCGTGAGACTGAGTTCATTGTCCGGTGTAAAAAAGAAAAATCATAGGGCTGGCCAAATAGTTTAGCAGATTAAAGTGCCTGCTTAGGCAGATACAGGCCCTGGCCCCACCCCTGGGGCATTCTAAGAAGGCAGTTGAAGACTGGGCATGGTGGTGCGCATCTATAATCCCAGCTCTTTTTTTTTTTTGAGGAGCCATGGATTGAACTCAGGCCTTTGCACTTGCCAGGCAAGTGCTTATTCCACTGAGCCATGTCCCTGGCTCCTTAATCCAAGCTTTGGGGAGGATGAACACAGGCGGATCTCTATGAATCCGATCTATGTACTGAGACTCTGTAGATCCTTACTAAAAGACAAAAAAAAAAAAAAAGAAAATAATGGTATAAATTCATGTTTACAGAATACACAAAGAAAATAATAAGAATAAATATATTAAAAAGTGAAAACTTCAAAGAGCTCAGCGACACAGTGCTTTCCTGGTACATGTGAGATCCTACATTGAATTCCCAGTACAAAACAAAAAGGGAAAACTAGAAATAATGATTTTGGGGTTGAGATGTAGTTCACTGGTATAACACACCTTCCTGGTAAGCCCAAGGCCCTGAGTTCAATTCCTGATGCTGAAAAAAGAAAAGAAAGAGGGCCAGGGAGATGGCTCAGTGGACTAAGCACTTCCCTGGCAAGCGCAATGGCCGGAGTTCAATCCCCGGTTTCTCCAAA